GGCCTGCTGACCGTCACTGGCTTGGTGACCGGCACGGGCCTGCTGACCGTCACTGGCTTGCTGATGCCAATGGGTTTACTGACACCCACGGGTTTGCCAATAGTGACAGGTTTGCTCACTCCGATGGGCTTGCTGACTCCAACGGGCCGGCTGATGGTGACCGGCCGGCTGACCGGCCCAGGCTTGGGGGCGGGGAGGGGTCGGTCCATGTGGTTCCAAATTCGGTGCTTCTCCAGCTGGGTCTTGGAGGTGAAGGCAGCCTCACAGAAGGGGCATGGGAAGGTCAGCCTTTCTGAGATGGCACCCTGGGTGGAGAGGACAGGCGTGGGGTGGGCTGCCAGGCCGCTGCCCGGACACACCCCAGCAGCTAGGGCGGCGCAGGCTCAGGCCTCGTGTTCCCCGACCCGCAGCCCCTTACCCCTCGGCACCGCTGGTAATGGTACTTGAGCCCGTAGATGCTGGGAAACTCCAGCCAGCACCCAGAGTTTGGACACTTCACCCTTGAGTGCGCCTTGAACTCGTCTTTCCACTGGTTCATCAGGGAGAGCTGGGCGTGGGAAAGGCCGGGCTGCTGACCCCTCAGCCGCGCAAGCCTCTGCCAACCCGAGCCCCGGACTCAGCACCCTGCCCAGGCCTGCAGGGCAGACAGGCTACAGGAGCCCTCGGACCTTAGGAATGCAGCAGGGGTCAGGCCACCCTGAGAAGCAAGGGTACACTAGACCTGTTCTAGGGGCCCCAAGGACATGGTCCACTAGGCCCAGGCCACACCATGAAGGCCTGAAGCACAGAGTGGCCTGCTGACATGGGCTGAGAACATGCTGCTGGACGTGTGGAAGGCACACAGAGGCATGGCAGTGGCCTCAACAGGCCAACCCGGCATGAGCCCACCCCGCCCTCAGGCAGCTCACGGGAATGTCACGGAGGGCCTGGTTCTCAGCTTTCGGACGCCCCTTTTTCTTTCCTTCTGTCCTGTCGCTGGCTGGACTTTCCAGGTCAAAGCAGAGTGGGGCCTGGCTGGGCACTGTCTGCCCACCCCGGGCCACGGGCAGTCCTGCAGTACATGACACAGAAGGCTGGTCAGGTCTGGAGTGAGTCTTGCTACCCCCACCACTAAGGCCACAGGACCAGGATCCAGGGCCCCCGGCTGCGCCCACCTTGGGAAGGCTCTCAGGAGCCCAGGTGGCCCACCTGGCACCCAGGGGCTGGACATCTGGGGAGGTCGCCCACACCCAGCACCAGCTGACCGTGACAGCTTGGAGTTGACCTTGGCCTGACCCCTTACCCAGCTTCGTTGGGTCGTGCCGCACAGGAAGTCGGACCTCATTCCGGCTGCCCTCCTTCCCAGGCCCACTCTTGCTGGATCCTGGAAGCCGGCGGCTGCCTCCAACACCAAAGGGATCGGTCATCACTGCAGAGCGAGAGGACAAACCTGTGAGGCCCACCAGGGCCCACTCAGGACTTGAAATGGCTGCCCTTGTGCCCCACCTCCAGACAGGCCTGCTCTCTGGCCTGCCTGCGCTCTTGGTCACACGGAAGACAGGTGACAGGGGACTTCTGGTTTAGGGGAGGGGCCAGATGACCAGGAGACACCATCAGCTTGGAAGGATCCAACCCTGTCCTGAGACCCTCACCAGGTCCGATGGGCTCCCTCCCTCCCTAGACACACAGTCCCAGACGGGCGGAGAATCATACACCTCACACCCGGAGCTGGGCCGGGGGCCCCAGGAGAGGTGGAGTGCTCAGGTGGAAGGATCCCTCCTGGGGGCCAATTACAACACCAGTATGGCTGTGGACCTGGCACCTCGCGACACCTTCCTCCACAGACCCAAGGCAATGCCACCCTACCCAGGCGGGTGCCCCTGGATCCTTCTCCCCAGGACACAGATGGAAGCCAGTCAATGTGGGTGCTGAGGGCCCTGCCCACTCCCAAAGGCATGCACCCTCCCGGGGGGCGGGGGGCAGACCAAGGACTGTGGACCCTGTGGCACCTGGTTCTGGTCCCCATGTCAGTGCAGCCATCCTAACTCACCATCTTCTCAGCCTTGTTCTAGCTGGGGCCCCTCTACCCAGATAGAGGCCTCGTGCTGGGCCTCTTGGCCACACTCTACCTGACTGATCTCTTCCTTATCTCCAACCCCCAGAGCCTCTCTGCTCCCCACCGGCCATTGGCCACCAGCTACAGGGAACACTCCACTACCTGAGGCTGGACCTCCATGGATCTGAGAGCTGGAGGGACTCTGATGGGTCCTCCCACAGGGACACCAAAGCCACAGAAGAGAGTGGGGATGGGGGTGGGGATTGTGTGGGCAGGTGATCCCTCTCCTGGTAGTTTCTAGCTAACTTCGATCGGAGAGGACGAGAAGGGGCTGCTGTGTCTAAGAGGGTACAGAAACTATCTGGGAAGGGTGAGGTCAGAGGTCAAGACAGTCACTGCCCATTGCCCAGGGGGTGCCCATATCCTGGGCCTGGAGGGACGTATGGGTCTAGGTAGGTCTGAGCTAACTTCTCTGGAAGTCCTCACACTGCAACTTCCAAAGGAGACATGCCACTATCAGTCACCCCAGCCCCAGGATGACCCCAGCAGCCTGGGGTGCAAGTGTCTGTTGGGACCCCACTTTCCAGTCTTTCTCCAGCTTCGGTGGAGGTTTCAGAGTTGGGGGGCCTGGGACCAGGACGGCTTAGGAGGCAGAGACCCTCCTTCCACCCAGGGCCTATGAGTCTAGCACTAGGAGAAGGGGCTTCCGCCCTCCTTGAGGACCCAGCAGGGACGAAGAAGTGGGACCCTCACGGAGGTAGGGGGCGCCGCGCGCTGACCACAGGCGACGCTGGCAGCAGGACCACGGCCAAGGCGGAAGGGCCCTAGACCCCGGCTCAGGCCCGGGAGCGCAGAAGAAGCCAGCCAGAGGATGCACACCTGGAGGCTGGCCTCGCCACCCACCTGTCACCTGCGGCCGGGGTGCGGGCCGAGCCTGGCCCCGGAAGGGCCGATCGCGGGCGCCTGGGAG